CCCTCACGCTATCATGTCATGTTAACACTGTACATGTAGAGTGGGGTGTACCTAATTGTTTGTGTGGTCTGCGTATAGTTTGTAGTGGATAGTACCTACCACTGGTTGTCACATGGTATTTCTTATACCCTGAGGGTCTGTCATGATCTGACGCCTGATCATGGGGTGGTGGCGTCCCACGGAAGCGGAAAGGTGGTTCTTGACCAGGGAGTTGTACGACTCCTTGTTCTTGATTGACCTGCCCGGTACGTGAACCCGTCGAATTTAATTTTTTTTGAATTTTTTTAGGGTCTGTATGTGTATGTTTTCGGGGACTGAGCTTGTAATGGTACCAGAAAACCAAACCATGTGAGAGCAAAGCGGTTGAGAAAGTATTACAAGACTCCGGGAGCTGTAGAGCTGCTGCACTGCAAGCTAGCCGCAGCATACCTTCCCATTGTGAACATGGTAGGTGCGTCACATACTAATACTTCCATACCTGCCAAGTATCCAGATTTTTTCGGGGTTATCCCGCGATTTTGGATGAACTCTCGCGATCCCGGAATTCCTGTCCATTATCCCGAAATTCGCTGTACAAGAAACAAGCTTGATAGTCTGTACTTGGAGCACTTCACATGACTTGTCACGGGCCAGTAGTTGTCCTTATTGATTCCGGTTCACCATAACCTGCAGTACCAGTGCTCCTTCCATGAATAGTCCCTGAAAAACTTCCGTGTTTGAGTCTTGAACATGCGTAAGTGTGATCTGATGATCACCATCAATCATCTATTATCGAAATGTTGGTGCTATCAAAAGTTGAAAAAGTTTTTTTTTGGAAAAAAATATGACATATCCCGAAAAACCAAGGCAAATCCCGGGATTTTGCCATGGCGATCCAGAAAAAGCACTCTCAGTACTTGGCAGGTATGTACTTCTGTAAAGGCATGTGCTAGTATGTTCCCGGTTTGTGTACATCGTATGTATTGTGGGAGAGTAGAAACATCCCAGTGCCATCTGCATTGGCGAATACATTCGGAATAATGCTCGAAAAGGTGGCAGATTTTGCTCGAAAAGCAGTGAAATTGGCAGAACCATACAAACCTTATGGCGGGCAATTCCTCGAATTCTGCTCCATTTCTTTATCCACATACCAAACATGCATGAAACTTACCAGAAAAAGTACCGAATTCTGCCAATTTTTCTGCCGGCATTATCCGCAAAGGCCTCCTAGCCAGCGTACTAGTTGGCAATTTTCGCCTGGTGATCGATTCAGTTCCGATGGTGAAACTCAGGGTTACGAAACAGCAACTGCTCGTTCTTCTGTCTGTGTATCACAGTAGTTGGGTATAATTGTATGATATTCCGCGCGCAGTGATTGCCTTTGGAAAGCGCAAAGAACGCATCACCTATGTGACCGCTCAGCTGTGTAGTCATAGTCTCTGATCTATCTATCCACTTCCCGCTCTCTGAGCACGTAGGGTATTCCACTTCCTGGAGAGTGCTCAGTGCCAGTAGAAGGCCCGAGAGCCTCCCACACAACAGGGGGAGAGAGAGAGGAAGCTGTGTTGCAACTCAGAGTAGCTCCCCCTCTCTCTCTCTATCTCTCCCTGTATCTCTTTCTTTCTTGGCCAGTGTTCAAGTGTGGTCTTGGCACGAGTCACATCTGCTCACATCTCTCTCACAGCTAACAGTAATCATGTGCTTGGGTGGGAGAGTGGAAGTGCCAGGTTCTGGCCACGATTCATCGTGGCCCTTTCCTCTTGTCACCTGTGGAGTACTGCGGGTGGTGTTTATATGCCAAGTGACTAGCCAGACCAGGGAGAAAGTAAAGTCTCTAATTCTTGCCTCTAATTCATTACATAATGTACTGGCAGTTCTGTGTGTATGGCTCACTGATTATTGCCACCACTACACTACACCACTAGTAGCTTTTAGTTAGTACTGTGTGTATGGCACACTGCTTCCTGCCACCACTAGACTACACCGCTAGCACTAGTGCTGTGTGGGGGGGGGGGGGGGAGTGGCTGGCTTTGGCTGCATGGTGAGAGGGATTGTAGCCCAGGAGACTTTCCTGCTCACTGCACCTCTGTTACAGTGCCTGTGGCATTACCCAATGTTCCTTCATCAGTATCTGCTCACCTGACGCTTGCTGTAGGCACTGGGGCAGCTGTGTAAAAGCAGTTTTGTGGTGGATTCATCTCACGGGTTTCCAGCGAACACCAGAACTTACTTGAGTTCTCTGCTAGTGTGATTGAATTGTGTGGAGATGGTCTCACTTTGATGGCCCAAGTTGATCAGTATTCGGTCTGCTTTGTGCCATTGTGTTCTTTTTTTTGGGTGTGGTGTGTGTTAATTCCATTTGGCTATTCATCTTTCTCTCGCCAAGTCATGTTATTAATGTGCTCTTTCGTTCCCGGAGCTGATGAAGCCTTGGGGCTAGAATCTTCTTCACCAGTAATGTCTATCCCTATTGGCGTGTATCCATTGCAGTGATTCCAGGATTTTTTGTCCTAGTCCTGTTGCCAGCATGTCTGTGGTGGCCCTGTGTCATGAATGCCCCTTGCTCAGTGTCCGATCTGCTAGATTGCTGTGGGCATTTTGGCAGCTGAGTAAAAATGAGCTTTGCTGTGAATTAGTTTATCTCATTGATTCTACGAGGAACTGTAAACTCGCTGCCATATCGTGATTGCTGGATTTGTTCCAGCAGTGTAAACGAATAGCTTTTTGCTCAGTGCAATTTGCTACGGGCAGATTATCACATGGGTAAATGTATTGGTTTGTAACATCTCACTTGATTGGTATTCACGCGGTAGAATACCCAGTCTGTGCCCAGACGGCCAGAGAGTGCCTGGTACCTGCAGACACAGGCTTCGTACACATTGCTCTCTCCGGAGACACACGGAAACCTGCCTGATTTTGTGATTGCAAGTGTCTTGTTTGCTGCAAATACAGTGAACCCTGTCTAAGCTGACCGCTCAAGGGACCTTCAAAACGTGGTCTCTGTAGCCAGGTGGTCTCCTTATCCAGGGTCAATTGACTGGAAATAGCATCCCTAGGTCCTGGTTTCAGTGGTCTTATAGGACAGGTGGTCACCTTAACAGGTTTTACTGTATAGTAATAGCTGAGTAAAGGCGGCATTCTAGTAGCGGCCTGTTTGCCATATTGACACAGTGATTCTAGTTCTGTGATTGCATCTGTTTGGGATCGTCCTAACGCCTAACCTTGATGTTCTCGTTGTAGTTATTATTATTATTATACGCATTCCCGCGGCAGCGTCAACCAAGCAGTTATGCTTGATCCACACGTTCGCTTATGCTGGACATTGAAACAAAGCAGATGTAGACAGCTCCTAGAGAATGGGGCTCTACAAAACCAATGATCGAAGTTAGTCCTTCAGTAACATGGAGCGTCATAAAATTGGTCTCATTGGAAAAATGTCATCAATATTGTCTCCTCATGTAGCATCATGGTCAATGGGTGGCCAGATAATTATACGTATGAGGTTGAGTTGCCAGATAATTATTAAAAGATTCAAATAGTAATATTATTATAGAATGGTTGTTATGAGTTTATAAGGGTGCCATGGCTGTTTCTACTTGTGACGAGGGTGTGCACAAACACTCTTCACCAGCGCGTTCCATGCTGGACGGTCCACAGCAATCCGCTCCAGACGGCGCAAGTCCTCAACACTCCGCAGGTGCCCATTGTTCGACTGGGACAGATCGGTGTGGAGCTTTATTGGTAGTGTCACCCTCGGCCTCCCACGGTACCTCCCCTCGGGTGCCTGAAAGTATTGCTCCATGCTCAATCGTGCTGGCGTGTCCTTACCCAGGCGAAGCACATGTCCGAATAAACTCCAGCGTGAATTTCGGATCAAGTCCGACACCGGCTCCACTCCACATCGGGCATACAACGCCAAATTACTAATCTTTTGTGGCCATGTGATGCCGAGAAGTGACCTGAGTTGCCTTCTATGGAAAGCGTCCAGGGAGCGTTCGCTAGCAACCGTCAGGCCCCAGGTGCCTGAATTATAGAGAAGTATCGGCATGATAAAGGCGCAGTACAACCTCATACGCAGAGGCTCTCGGATCAGTCCTCGGCGCTTCCAAAGAGACCACATGGATCGGAAGGCAGCCTCGGCCAATTGCCTGCGACGTGTCACATCCTCAATGTCGCCCAGGAGTGAGCCCAGCTTTCGGGATGTCCTCCAGCGCTCGTCAATTCTGTCTACAGATCGACCCAGCTCTGTCCACTCAGTTTTGGTGTTGTTGACTCTCAGGGCCCACTGCCCGAGAGTGTGGTCTATGACCGGTTCGAGCTCTGTGAGCCATTGACGACTAAGGCTTATGAAATCAGTGTCATCTGCGTAGACAAGCTCAAATGGAATGTTGATGCTTTGATCCATTGGCGGTCTGTTTCGTGCCACCTGGGTGCTCCTCAGATCTCTCAGTCTCGTTGTAGTGCTGCGCGTATTGTTGTGTCTTGGGTGTGTGTGTGCATTCGTATCATCTACTTGTAACATATCCAATCTTGGTCACCTTCCAGTTTCCACCTTCTCTTTCATATCACAGTGGAAAGAAAAATTGACGGTTTTTTGGGGGGGGGGGGGTGGACATGACACCACATGATTTTCTCCCAGAGACAATTTGAAAAGGTGTCAAGCATGACTCACTTCGAACTCGATGTCCTGTCACATTTGAGTATGACACTAAACGATGCGAACTGTCATCCTTATGCTTAAGGCACACTTCTTTTTATTCGTTAGTTGGGGGAATGGACAAGGGGAAAAGTCTGAAGAAAAAGTCGACCCTCACCACCAGGACTCGAACCAGGGACCTTCGCTTGAGGCCAGCAATGCTCTAACCACTGAGCTACACAATGCTTCTTTTTCTGTATTTAGGTGAATGAAGCATTTTCTGCCCAGTACTTGTCAGTGGCAAAATAACTCATCCTGGACAATGCGATCACAAACAGCTAGAACGCCCTTCTTCTTCTTTTTCCCTTTTCTTCTCTGTGTTTAGGTGAATGAAGCGTTTGCTGCCCAGTACCTGTCCGTGGCAAAGGAGCTCGGTCTGGACAATGCGATCACGAATAGCTGCGGCGGAGCCATCGCGCTCGGCCATCCGCTGGCCGCGTCGGGCTCGCGCATCACCGCTCACCTGGTGCACCAGCTGCGACGTACCAACCAGCGCTACGCCATCGGCGGCGCATGCATCGGCGGTGGTCAAGGTATTGCCGTGCTTCTGGAGAAAATGTAAAGCGGGGGCCCCGTCGGGAAAATGGACGTTACGACTCCTCTGAGCTCTTCAGTCAAGGCATTGCTGTGCTTGTGGACTTTTTGAGAGAGTAAAACGAACCTGTCAAAAAGGGACGTGATGACTCCTCTGTGCGGCAGTCAAGGTATCTGTGCTTTTAGAGAGAGTCTAAAACGAACCTGTCCGAAACCTAGACGTTACCACTCCGCTGATGTCCTCTGTAGTGTTTCGTATTTCAACTTCTAGTCTATTAACTGTTTCTATTTCTCTCTTACTCAAATGATGACGGGTACGGTAGGTATCGGATTTCTTCCAAATTTACTGTCACCAGACTGACGTGTCATTCGTTACGTAGGATCGTAGAATGGTAGCACTAATGATCTCGTCAGTCCATGCCCCTTGACTCTATTTTCGATTTAAAAGAACTTAGCCCAGTTATCAAATTTTGAAGTACTCGTCGATGAGAGACTATAATGCGTGGGACTTGCACTTGGCGTGTGTTGTGATTGTGTTTGCGGTGTTGAGCGTCATCAGCCATGAGGCATTGGTTGCGGAGCTGTGTGCCGTTAACCATGCGCCGTTATCCGTGCACGAAAAGAGTGTCGTTTTTGTCGCGAGTTGCCGTCATTCCCGAGGTTGAGAGTGTGCAGTCGATTGGCTGCTGTGTCTGAAGATTGTGTGGTGATTCGCGAGTTGTACCCGAGGTCGTTATTCACGACGTTGACTGTGCCTACTTATTATGGCCATAATCATAATTATGTTGCTCTTTGACCTGTGCGCTGATACTAGTAATAACTGGAGTGTACCTGCTGCACTAACTGCTGGTTGTACACTCTTCCCTTGCGTGCTTTTAAAGTACAGCAATGCTGGGGAAATGTCTTGATCAGCCTCTTGGGTCCTGTCAGTTGGCTGCTGGTGAGTTATGACTATGAACGTCAGGTAGTAAGTGGATGGTCACATGACCAGGGGAGAGTATGACTAGATCATCCAGTGGAACACTTTTTCAATGGGCTTGGATACTTTCTGTGCTGCAATCAACATCCTTGAATTAATTCCAGATGAAATTGATCTCCCCCCGACTTTGCCAGTGCGCGGAGGTACCCTGGTCACAGAACTAATTAGAAGCTGCACTGCAATGGGCAACAACAACGGTGCATGGTTCATATGCGTATGTACTCCTAGTGTTATGCGGGATACTGTGCAGATGCTGCGGGTGCTTACAATGTGCTCACAATGTGCTCCCGGTAACAGAACATGATGTCCTAGCCTGGGGGTGCCCTCCTACATGGGTGAAAATTCGGATACAATCGTTGTGCGCGGTGTAGCCCTCGTGTTATTGTAACTTGTAACTGAGGAGGGATGCTGAAGCGCTGGCAGTGGGTGAGTCTTGTGCCGGCTCTGATTTCCGGCTGCTCACGTTCACCCCAGCATGATCTTGTATCAGGTTTCATGGTCCTGTGGGCAGCATAGGGTCTTTCATTCCAGCAGTTGAACCCCTTAGTTTCTGTCCCCCTCCCCCTTGGCTCTCATTGTACAGTTGCTGGTCACCCACAGACTAGCCCCTGGTGTGTGCTTGTGTATGGGGAGAGGCCGTGAGAGGGTGATTAGGGGCCATCTTATTAAATTTTGTTTGTCTTCACGGGCCTGTTGTGCATTGTGTATAGTGGTCTTGGGAGTTTCATGCACATCATGCTACACAATGTTATAGTTGTCGGCATGTGTTTGTGTACCATGGGTGACAAGTGAGCAATCTGTGTTGCTATGCCTGCCTTGTAATTACTCCAATTACTTGTACCATCACCGGTATTGCTATTGCTATTTGCATTGCAGGGTATATTGTCCACGATGGGTCAACTTGTACTTGTTTGCCGCCTATACTACAACTAAGTACTCCATATACATGTAGATGCATCTGTAGCCGGGTTGATCTTGTTGTTAGTTGTTCTTAGGTACTAGATCTACATGATTATACACTCACACAGGGAGACCGGCATATGCAGGTGTTGTGGTGGAAGTGTGTGTGTGTCATACCTGGATGTGTCCTTTTTTAGCCTCAAGCGGGAAGAATTCCCTCTTCACACCCCCAGCAGCATCAAGGTCACTTCAATGCGCTAGAAATCCACCCCTGCTGCTCGCATTCCACAAAATGCAAAGCAACAGTCGGGGACTGTCCGGAGTGCACTGGCTTGTGTCTTGTTGGCAAGACTCAGCAGCAACCCTGGCCTAGGTGTATCAGCTCCTTTTGGGTTTGGATACACTACCATGTACTTCTTTTTGAAGTAGCTGAGTAATACTACTAATAGGCTGTCAAGTGTGTACTATTTCTTTTATCTTGACTAGTTTGAGGGAAAGACATGAACTGGAAAAGTCTGAAGAAAAAATTGACTGTCACCATCAGGACTCGAACCAGGGACCCTCGCTTGTAGCTTTTATGATATTATATTTTTAAACTCTCAAGGGAGGGAAGGGTAGTAAAAGGTATGCATTGAGTATTGTGCTTTCCAAGGAGGAACAATATGCCATGGTAGACATAACCAGGGAATCATGAGAGCCATGCAGGTATGGCCATGAAAGGGTTAAAGGCCTGTTTTTCACGACTCCCTTTGCATTCCTACCCATATTTAAAGGCTGGTTTTGGGTCCTATGTGCAAGTCATCACAACAGCTGGAACTGGGCATTCAACAAACAAACAAACTACTTGCATCATCATGAGTATATGCAAGAGAGTGTGGTAGGACACATACTGTAAGTTTCAGCAGTTCAGATTCCGAATTGTTACTTGCAAGTATCTCAAACTAGATGGTGGCGGTCCTAACAGCAGGATTTCAGGTCTCAGCATTAACTAATTACTTTGGGGCTGGGCGACAAGATGTGTGTGCTACTACTAGTGCTAGCACATGTACATGAACACAATCCAACACATGCAGCTAGAGGAGCTTACTCCAACTAGAGATACTTGATACTTGGCTGCACCTACACTAAGTCCTACTGATCGATAATTGAGACACAACACTGCGGCACAAGGATGCTGTAGCCGTGAACACCTCACCGCTATCATGCGGGCACAGACCACAGGGAACTCGAACTGAAGAGACAATGGACTTTTTCGGGATTGACACGAGAAACGAGAACTGATCAAGGCAAATTGTATGCTGTCATCGCGATAAAAAGCTACTCTGCTCCGTATAGGAGAATGGGGAATGTTGATGGATGATAGAAAGCAGAAAATTGACACCGATATGCGCCGTATAGGTCTGACCCAGGCATAATGTAAATCCTCTGATAATAATAGAATCTTTGTCTTATCTGTGTGTTGGGGGGTTTGTCAGTGCGAGATAACCAGGTGCGACTCTCTCTCTCTCTCAACTCAACGCAACCAGCAAGGCACTGCTGCTGCTGCTGCTGCTACAGCATGTGACTGTGGCTGTGACTGTGGCAGATGACAGTGAGTAAGTGTGGCAGATTGCAGAGACTACAGGCTGCAAGAGCAGCTCAGCAGTCAAAACACTGAGCACGGCGCTGTGTGCTCTAACGTTATCAGCACTCACGTCACTGACGTGTTAATCTCTCAAGCTCAGGCGAAATGAACCAATAGTAGCATTCCATAATAGACGTCAAGCTTTCTGTCCGGGTCCGAGCAGCGTTCTGGGAAGCATCCACCTGTGAAGCTGCCAGCAATAGCTTTATCGGATTGCAGTACAACTGTTTGGGCTCTGCCGATAGGAAGACAACACATCAGAGCGCCTCTCGATGTAGTGGTATCAAGTGCCCGGCCGGTCTTCTACAGCACGCGCTCCGACACTCACAGCTATACGTGGACCAATGGTGCCACGTCCGGGCACCGACGGTGTCGCAGATCTGCCAGCACACCGCGCGCGTCACCGCCATCTTCGTGTAGATGGTCACGCACTGGTTTTGCCGGCACGCGCTCTGGAACTCGGCGATTCGCTCACCGAGCTTCTCTCGCTCCAACCGATGGAGCCTGTGCATGGTCGCGTTGTCGGCGAAGATCATTGTCCGATTCTGCGAATCCGTGCTGGTGGTTTCGACCTCGGCACCTGTAGTCGGGGCAGATGGGTCCGTTGTACTCGCAGCTGCACTGGAGTGGCTGCTCTCACTGTCACCCGCTGCTGTGGTCGTGCTCGGTGCGGTTGGTGGTTGTGTAGTCGTGGCTGCAGCAGAACAGGACACAGAGACAGGATGGAATTCGTCATCAATTACGGGACAGCAAGCGCATGTATGTGTGTCTCAGCATGCAAAGTTAACACGTCCAGTGATCCTCTGCTCTAATCAGGTTCTCACTTAGGCCAGGTGTGAGGTGACTAATGACTGGGGGATAGTGCATCTATAATTATAGCTATGCCACCTCCAGAAGCATGTTGTCTGTGGGCTAGAAAGTGCCTACTGCAACTCCTTTACACCCGGAATCATGGCATGGCATAGATTGTGTACTCAGCATGCTAGTTTGTGCTCGCCTGTCCCAGGCACTTGCTCACTGGGACACATCACCACTGTGTATTCCTATGGCATTCATCACATGCAACTGTACTAGGCTGTAGCTGTGCTGGTCCATGGCGACAGAATGATACACATGGGCAAGAGTAGATGGGCAAACACTGGCTGCATCCCAGAACCTGCACATGATGGCACATCCACTGCCCTTCTTGCAGCAGCACTAGGTCATGTGACCTGGCCCCGTGTACCAACAGTACTCAGAGTAGAACATCCTGCACCATGATGCAGTCACTGACAAATTTGGCCACTGAATCCCAAGTGGCGTGGATTGGCCAGGACAAAGGCTCCGCATCTCAAGGGTATCCTGATCAGTGATGGTCCATTATGGAATGCGATCTCTCCCCTTCTAACTGCTGTGCAGTGGTGTGCTGCTTTCGGGACCCTCCTGCTAGAACTAGTAGTTCAGTTCCGACCAACTATTATCAATACAGGCCACATTCGACATTTGCACCAAGCCAGCCCGTCACAGACAGTATTCTGAACCCGCTACTACAATCATGTAAGATTACTACACGGATTGGAGCCTTCTCTGTGGCATTGGTGAGGCTAGCTATCGCCAAGTAGCTTCAAACCTATCTAGGACCCACCCCGGCACCCAGCCTATTTGCCTGCCTATCCTGGAGGTAATGTTTTGTTTTTCCGCAAAGATACTTCATTCCTCCGGCCTGTGTCCACCCACCCAATTCTATCAGTGTTGAAGACAAAGTGCTCTGAATGTCTTTAGCCATTCATCACTATTCTCTTCATCTATGGACACTCTCCAATGATGTCCAATTGACAGTCGAATAGTTTCTTGACTTCGCACACCCACCAAAACAAGCCATAGATGAACCATAGTTCCAGGGCTTCCTGCTCTTGATCAATTTTCGGACATTTTTCGACACGATTGTACTCAATCACTACGTCGATCTACCCTGCGGTGCGACACGTCACATCAGAATGACAGCCTGTAGGCTGTAGATCCACGGAGATACAGTCATCATCATGATTTCACTACAGCAGGCACAGGCCCTCTTGTCTCTACTCACTGCGCAACTGCTTCAGCAGTTCAGGACCAACGTCACGTCTGTCACACAGAAAAAGTTCCGAGTAGATCTCCGACTCGATACTTATCACGCTACTAGTCTACTACGTCAACATGGCCAATGTCAGCAAGCTATGGACTATGCCATGGGCTTACCTGTGGGTGCGGGCTTCGTGTTGTTTCGAATGCTGACGCCAAGTCGTCCGAGAGACACAGTTCGTCCGGTGGCGAACGCTCTCTTCAGCCCCAGCATCTCCACGGAGGCCGCCACAGCCTCCAGCAAGCCCCTGTCCTTGTTGCGATTTCGCAACGTGTAACCGCCGACCACGTACGTCTTCGGCAACGCATTCTTGTCGAGTCGAACGGTCTGGATTCGCTTGAGCTTCTTCGCCTCGCCGTCTCGCGCACACAGGCCCGTGCATGGGCAGCAGCTGAACCAGGTCTCGTCTAGACAGAGAGCGCATTGAGCTACACAGGCAGAATCGTTCTTGTCGCAAGCGCACAATCTGCGAAACCAGCAGTAGCTGAGCCTCGTGAAGCAGTCCTGCAGAGGACAATGCTCTCGGTGGACGTTCTCGGCGTTGAACGCCGAATAGTCGATCTCCGCTTCCGGATTCTGCGCGTTGCCGCTACCGATGCGAGCCAGTGACAGCAGCACAAGCGTTGCGAATAGAACAGACACTGGACAGCTAGTGGCCATTCGCCACGTGCATACCAAACCTTTGCAATTCATACTGGCAGTGGTCCAACTTGAACTTGAACGGAGTACAGAACCTGGCGTTGCGTTGTGTTGCGCACTGTCACCTTCTGCTCGGGCTGCTGAAGCAAAGGAAATGGGAGCAAATTTCTACGTTGCGGCTTGCACTCAGTCGAAACCGTTCTCTGATGTTTGCGACTTGGTGCAAGGGAGCTAAATATGCGTTTACGTCCTTCAATTGAATTGGCCTACTTAGAGCTTCCCGCTGTAGACCATTACTTCAGCGCGCTGCTTCGCATAACAGTCGATAGTGGCGCAGCCGACACTTGCGCGAACTGGATCCCGGAACCAGGCCGTCAATGAGAGTAAATGGCTCAGACCACACACTCGCAGCAAATGAACGGGCCAAGTCGCTCGTGAGGTGCAAACACCCGTTCCCACCCAGCCTGGCGCTAGACCAGAGAAAAGCCCGCAGAGATAGTAAGCAGTGCAGTGGCGCTGTGGCGTAGTGTGGACTCAGCTCTGCGGATAAGATTGCGGACGTGGCCAGCACTGCACTGGCACTGGCAGAGGATCGGACTGCGCGTGCAAGCCGCAGATCAACCTCCGCAAGGCCCAGCGTGGAGACGTGTAGACGGATCGAACTTGACGCACTCTCCTGGCACGTCACGACATAGTAACCACTTGCTCTCTGAGCCATTGTCATGATGAGGGGATAGTTTTGAAAGAGCACCAGCAACAAGTGCTGCTGCTGCTCCTTTACGTGACTCGTGTCGCTGGAGAAGGCAGTTGGCAGGCGACCAGAGCGGTGGCAGCCTCTCACAGAGGATGGCGGCGGTAGATCTACTAGTAGTAGAAGCCAGGTCGTGGGGTAGAGTAGAGCATGGTGATTATTTCTACCCAATGCCCGAGAGGTCTCTACGACAAGAAACTTTGAGCTGCCAAGCCTGTCAGGCAAGGTTGGTGATTATTAGCTTGCTGGCCTTCACACAGGGGCCGTGTGACGTTCGACTGCCGACATAGCGGCGGAGCTGTGTTCCTGTCTGCATCCCTATTGGGAGATCAACTCTCTGCCTTTTTTTCCAAAAGCAAATACTAGGCAACAGTCTGTTCCATGCATACTGTGAAGGGAAATAATGGGCACGACTCGATCACAAGAAACGACGTTCAACTGCAATGCATTAGCGCCGCATCATCTCTCTGCTAGCCGAGGGGAGTTCCGGGTCGCGTGCACATGCCAGCATCGCGGTGTTCATGCCATCATGGTGTTAGGGTGAGAAGAGTTGAGAGGTGTGACGGGGGCATAGTCTGGGCCCTGGCGCTTCACGCCGTCACATGGCTTCATTTATAGCAACAGGTTCTTGCTTCCCTGCGCCCCTGGTGCATGGTGCGAAGCGGCAGCGCAGGTGCTGGATTGTAGGTACAGCATAACAGATCGTGTGACGTGGAACGACCGTAGGTCGTTTGAATTATGCTAAAAAAAGTGCTGGTCTCTTATCTTCGGCACGTTTATTCAGGAGCGTGTTTGCAGCTTCAAAGGGGGTTGGTTGTTTGGGATTATTTTATTTTACTTCGCCAGAATGAACAGGCATTGCTGCCTTCTTGCCTGGACAAGTGGATTGTCCAAGCTCTCACAAAATGACAAAGAGGCAAGGAGAACATACATGTACAATGTACGAGAAAGATACGGAACCTTCACGTGCGTGCTGCTGAAATTATGTTGTTTTTCCATTGGGTTGTTGACGTCCAAAAATGCACTAGTGATGCACGTAGATCTACGTGTCATGTGTTTCCGGTATATCTATGTACCTGTATGAATGTACATAGATATAGTAAATTATCAAAGCGATCACGTTCGCCATGCGATTGCGACTGACTTCACGCAAGAGACAACGGGTGTCGTGAGTGAGGATGTTGTCGGCCGGTAGAACTCACAGAACGTGAACAGGGATTCAAGGAGACATGGCCGGGCATACCATAACAAGTCACACTGTAGCTGTGTAGATGATGATTCAATTTCAAGTTTAAAAAACGATACTGCGGTAGTGTGTACGTACGTGCACATGGTACTACGGTGCTGGCAACTGAAATCCGACCCCCTGAGCGTTGCGCTCATATCGCAAAGACCCAACACGGGATGGTAAAACTACGAAACAGAGACCGATAGAATGTGAACCCACCGCTCTCAGGGGTCGGATTTCAGTTGCCAGCACTGTAGTCGACATACAGTGAGTGGTTCGCTTTTGCACGCACGGGCGAAACCTCTCATGCTCCGAGACTACAATATAAAAAAGAGCAGTGAATCTTTGCATCGTTGGACGTGACCACGAAGTAAGTTGCATGCATTTTGAAGTGAAATTACTGCAATTGTTGCTCTGGATTGGGAATCTACTCGTTGAATGTTACGGAGGACATGCATGTAGATCTACAGAACAGAACAACAAGGACAATCAATACAAGGCTTGTTTGCTGCGACTTGAATTTTCATGCTCTCGCAATCATCCGTGAGGCAACATGAAGGATCCACATGACTGTAGTCTACTAGCCTGTACAATACTGTAGATCTACGAGGCATGCGATGTAAGACACACACACACATGCTATGTAGGTCCACAAACCAATGTGTTCCTGATTCCGCCTGTGCATGTGTCTGCTTGGGATTGGCTCCGAAATACACGCAGCTGTCCAGCTAGGGCATAGCATCAAACATCAACCTGATTGTATGGGTAGCAGGAAAGCAATCCAACATAGATTTTGGTAGGTCTGTGTAGGCGGATCGGAAAGCTGTTTTGTCTGCGGATCACGGGATAATATCATCGCAAATCAAACAAAACATGGCAGGACGCCCGAAGACATACCACAGCGACATCCTGACCGTGTACGTTGGCAGCAGTGCGTGTGTATTCGCACGTCCAGTCCTTCCCACATGGCTGCGTGTAAGGGTGCACGGTGGTGGCGCGGGTGTTGGCCGTGCGCGAAAACTTGCACCGCAAACCCAGTTATCTCCGAGTGGATAAGAAAGAAATGTCCAGCAGCGGTGATGCTGTGTCGTTTCATCGCTGTAACGCCTGTGCTGAAATTACTGGGTCGAAACGGAGCATCAATCTGGCAATAGAACGAATGCGTGGATCTCAATGGATTTCGTGCGGGGTTCAATGTAATTTACTGGCTTATACTACTGCCCAGTAGTACAGCCAGTCTTTCGGAGTGTTCCTGAAGGAGAATACAGGAGAAAGGAACCGTGCTAATCTGTTCCAAGCTGGCTGCAGACAGGCTATCTTGGGTGCCATTACAGAAATACCAGCAGCCTGTATTCGAGCGGCTGGGTGCGTAAAGTCGCGAGGCATGTTTCTGCGCTAGGGGTCAGGTCTTGGGTGGGACTAACCATGGTACATCCTATGGGAAAAAGTTTTTAAAAAACCATACACAAGTTAACGATAGTGCTGCTCAATGAAATCCGATCAAAGGAGTCAGCTTTGCGCCCTGTATGAGTAGAGAACATGGATGCAGCTAATACCAGTAATGGGGTCGTTCTCGGCACTTGTGCCAGTGGTTGTGAGACTTATCCACTCACCCCCACCGTTAGGCGCTGCATCTGCCGCTAGGGGTTACCGGGTGTTAGCGGCGGTCGTGATTTCCCTTCGGGAACGAACACGACAATTTACTTTTTTACTAGTGGTGAAACGAATATAGCGAATGTTCGAATATTCGTTCGGTTTTAACACATTCGAACGAATATTTCTCATGGCGAATATTCGTTAACCCGGTATGCAGAATCAACCGGGCGACTTCAAACTTTCGTAACTTCGTGAATACTTGACCGAATCGCTTCATTGAAAGATCTATCGGCATTAGCAAACTCTCAGCTGTTGTTTAGAAGCCACCCGAACGCAATCCGAGGTCCTGGAGGGGAGGTATGGCGCTCGAACGAAAATCACGTCTCAAGCTGTTTTTGAGCCTGTGCCAAATGAAAGGCACTTCAGCTGGGGATGTTTGTGAAAAATGACCTAGAAATGATGGAGAAATATATGCCTTCGTTCGTCATGCCTAATAATAGTGACAATATCCAATAAAATGACTGAGAGGAGGGCATGTGATGTCATCCGTGTTAACGAAAGAATATTCGTTCGTTCGTTCGTTCGTTAAGCCGAAGAATATTCGGCTACTGGGTTTTGATATTCGTTTCACCACTATTTTTTACCCTATGAGTAGAGTGAAAATCCCACCCAGTGTTCGCTGGTCTACTGAGTACTGTAGGGCCGCGATCGACTCACTGCCTGGATCGGATTTCATTGAGCAGCACTGTACAAGTACTGTGCATGGCAAGGAGCCGGACTACAGTGTACTAGTACATGTAGTACGTCTTGGTTATACAGCGCTCCACCCAGATCGTTTACGGTCAGGAATTCCGGTGCACTTCGACACGCAACTTTCCAGATTTCCCCCGAAGACGCAAACCGCCGATGATTCCGGAATTGACGGAAGGTTTAGCGTCCCTGGAGATCCCTGACGGGCGGATAACAGCGCACATGTCCGCTAATAGTATGGTATACGTGTTATGCCATGTACACACATGAGTATGATCGTTGTCTGATGATTGCCTTAGCATTTAGCTACGTGCACGAAACGCAGCGTTACAACGTATGTATAATTGGTGGAACCATTCTTTTTGACCTTTGTGAGTATGATCGCGTACGCTGCATTTTATAAATAATGTTGACACTGCCCGACTACACCGCTGAACTCCGAAGGATTAGCATTACCAAATACACTATACACTTTAGTGCTGCATTGTGTGATTAACGTTACATTGTACTTCTACTATTTGCCTGGCACACACTGCCCCTGGTTGATTGCATAATTGCTCGTTGAGATTTCATTGATTGAGTTGCCTGCACATGTCAGTTGGCATAGCGTTCAGCAAATAATTGCCCGAGCAAACATGCAAGCAGGCGGATGTGCAGACAGCCACAGCCTAGGACAACAGTGCCGGTAGCAGTGCATCACTTCAGCATTTCCGCATGCACCTACCCAAGTTCACCCACCGAAGTCGGCGATGAAGGGACTTGCTTGGAGAAACGAGAAATCACTCCGGAAACACAAACAGGTCATGGTATTGATGTTGTCAGTGGATGATTAGTTTAGGGTTCAGTGTAGCGGCCAAATCAGTATTAGAGGGCAGACAAGGGCCATGCATCTACGTGTATAAGTACTATTCAGAATACTAGTTCCCACAATTTACTGAGTTTAGCAAAACGTGTAATAAATAATTGTTAATGTAAGAAAGGGTACAGCTCCGTCACTCCGGCACGACAGCAGCCGCTATCATTCATGGTGTGTGAGGTTTTGTATTGTATACGTTAGCCTGGTGATATACATGTACAATAACATGTACAAACAATACCTGAATCTGCATGTACATGTACATGTAGATTCAGGTATTGCCCGGGCATGGGGCCGACAGAACGAAAGGGCACCGGTAAATACAATGTAGCTACCTTAGAAAGACAGTGAGTGACTCGAAGGCTTAAGCGACGTTTCAGATGTGTTTGTTTGTTTTAGTATAATATGTTACACCGATCTCAAACGGATAGGGCTATCCAGTATTATGATTCCATGCCTTGAGAGAAAGGAAAAGAAGGCTAAACGAAAGAGAGCGATAAAACCTGCAATAATAAGATGGTAGCCGGTGAAGTGGTGGCCTGGTGGGATGAGAAGAACAAACGGAATCGAACGGATTGCACGTACACGTAGGGACAGAGTTATCCTCCACTGGTTCGATTCAGTATCGCAGAGAATACAATGTATGTCAAGCTGAAGGTAAAGCCGGATCCGTGTCAGTGTCATTTTGACGTGTTGAGACTCAGGTTAGACTTTGCCGGAGTTTGGTATGGACAAAAAAAGTTAGCCGGATTCGCGGCCGCACCACCTGACCTGTTTTAAAGGAACACATCAAGCAAATACATTCGCATCGGCGGGCAACCAGTTCGCCCATATATCCTC